AACATTACATCAGTCAGATGTTTATATTTGTGTTGGGAAGCAAGGGAAAACAGGTGTTGCGTAGACGCAACGTTAGCAGGAAACGGGTAGTCAATCTCCTTTTTCACTCATTCCATTCGATGTTCTGGTTGTTTAAAAATACCTAGAACGAGGTATCTTACATTAGAAGAAGCTCTTCAAGGATTTTTTGATGAAGAAACAGATGATGATAATGTTAATAATGACCAGAATGAAACTGATATTGTTGTTGTTCCCCCAGAAATTGCAGAGGCTAATGACAAAGAAGAAAGGAATATCAATGTTTTAAATAATGATAATGATATTTTACCAAATGATACTGCTGAGGAAGTTGAAATTCACGTAAGAAATAAGTTTCGGCCATCTAAAAGCACTTACAGTCATACTAAAAAGTTTAAAAAGCAGAAGACTGAAATCTTGAAGTGGATAAAAAAGGAACTGTTAGTTATGTCTCAGAAAGAACATGAAGAAAGAGATAGAAGAGAAATTATAAAAGACAAAACACAAGGTAAAACTAGTGCACAGATATCGATTTTCTTTTTGGTTTAGACATTTGCTCTCTTCTCGTTGAACAGACAAATATATATATACGCTTAAAAAAAAAAAAAAAAAAAAAAAAAACCACCAGATTTTATTGCATTTTGAAGCCTATATGAGAAGATTTATTGTAATATTATTGCTTACAGGATATCATTCTTTACCTCAAGAAAAAATGTATTGCTCTTTTGATAAGGACATTTCTGTTCCTGTTGTACGAGAATTGATATCACGTTTGCAGTACAGGAATATGAAGCAGAATTTGCATTTGACAATACTGATAAATTATATGAGGTGAGACCGTATCTAAACTTACCGAATATCACCACTTTTTACTGCTGGAAATATAAAGTCTTTTAGATTTCAGACGTGAGAATACATTATTCTTTTTCCAAACTCCTATTGAGAGTGTAGAATTAGCCAGAAATAGATCAGCAACAGGAAGACCTAGTAAATTCAGCATTCAGAAACCATTGAATGGAGATGGTAGACATTTTATCGTAAAGTCCGTTGATAACAAAAGACTTTGTTGTAAAGAGTACCATAGCCAGACTGTTTATAGATGCAAAGTATGTAATGTAGCTTTACATCATGATTGTAATCAAGCTTTTCATGCTTGAATCTTTCAAATGAAATAATCTGTATTTGTAAAAGAAACTGTATATTTTAATATTAAATTAATTACAAGTAAAGTGATTTGTAGATTTATAAAACGTTATACAGCTAAAAAGTAATCCTGCGCTCCACTCAAAAGAAACATCACACGAGTACAATCCTACTCGCTCAACATTCATAGTCTTATTCCGCTGACGTTGCACAAACGCAACACTCGCGTTTTCCACAGGTAACAGCATTTTTTTTATTTTCAATATAAATTTATGTTATAAATGCTTAATTTAATATTTGTTATTATTTTCATGAGAAAAGAAACATTCCTTGTAGTTTTGGCTGTTAATGGGTTAAAGTATATTAACTGGGTTACAACCCCTGGAACTCTACATGAAGCTACGACACTAACTGCATCAAAAAGAGCCTGACTGACTTTCAACACTTGCCAACTGTGCTTACATCAGGCCTTTCAGGTTTGTTCGAATCATCAGGTCTCTCTCTAGTCTAGCAGTAGCGGTGACAACATTCAGTCTTTTATTATGAATCATGCTGATTATGATCTTAGTTCTTATTTTAACTTATGCCGTTTGACAAAATCTACCTGTTATTTACAAAACCAAGTAGACTGACAAAGTATGGAACAAAATGAGGCATAAAAAAATCAACATAAAGCTACTGTTAGTAAAACGTAAATGTCACTTATCTTCTTTCAAATATGACCAACTATTATAAGTGTAAAATATTTAATGCTACTTGATAAATTGCATAAAGTTTATTTTATTCTCAAACTCATTAATAATTATGTTAATTAATTCATGTTTAGTAATAATGCATATTACTTAGAGATCTATTTTATTTTAAATTTATTCAGTTCCCATTTGCTCATAGGTCCTGAATTTTTTTCATTAATGGTTCTTAAAAGTCCTTAAAAGTACTTGATTTCTGTGTGCAGAAATGTGTACAAACCCTGGTTAACAACACCTGACACTGAATTACTCTGGATTTAAAAAAAAAAAAAAAAAAAAAAAAAAAATTGGTTCAGCAAAAATATCAAGAAGATTTTAAAATTTTATACTATGAAACATTTCAAATTCAAAATAACACAATAGTCTACCAAAGAGTATTTAAAATAAAATATTCTGTATCAGTATACAATGTTTAGGTATGATTTACAGGTAATAAACATACAACAGGATGCTGCATTTAAAAACCACATGAGGTGTTTTTACTAATGCAACACATATTTTCTCATCTTTTTCCTGGTATTACATCATGAATTCTACTATTTAAACAAGAGCAAATTGGGAGGTTATCTTCTTTTAATAGTGCAAGGCTATCCTTTCTAGATATTACCCTTTTCCAATTGTTGGAAATTACTTAAATAATTTCTTGACTGTTTTTGCCAAATAATTTGCTTACATTTTTTAACTCTTTGCCATCTAGAAAGTTTATTAGTTTTTAAAGTCGCAATTAAAGCCTCAGCTGTTATATCAATGAGAATTTCTAAGTGTATTGCATGTGTGGCAAAACAAAAAAGTACTGCTGCATAAATTTTGTTTCAAATACTTTTACATTGATTTTTGTACTTTATTTAAAATGGACTATAAAAGTCTATACTGCTATTGGTAAAAAAAAGTATTGATTGTGACTCTTCCTTAGGCAAATATGTTATTAACTGCTCTTCTATTTTAGGTTTCACTTTAAAGCATTCAAATCATTAATGTACAGTTTTCCTAGTGTTATTTCTTCCATTTATTGAACAATACTCTTTCTTGCCTTACAAGATTAAGTTAGGTTTGTGCCCCAACGTGCAAATATTTTATGTGAAAATTCTCCATTATAATATTATTTAGTCTGTGATCTCAAGGAAATGAAATGTGATGTTTCTGGTCATATGAAAAATCAGAATGAGCAAGTCGAGTGCCAACATTAATGAAATCATCATCATCGAGAAAAATATTACAAGTTACATTACTTCCCTTGTAAATATGTACACACTTTTTTTTTCAGACATACCAAAGCCAAAAGTTTCCAAATTATTAAACCATTACTTGAAGCATCTGAAAATTGCACCGTTTAGTAATAAGAAAATGGAAAAAACAGGCTATCTATTAGTTCATGGCTATCAATATTTGTCAGATGATTAACAGTGGCTATTGCACTCAATGAGAATAGAAGTAATAAAAATAATACTGCATGTTAAGTGATATGCAGTTTTATTTTTATCAACTGCTTTGAGAATTTCTCCATTTCTGCTTTGAGAATCCACTGCTTGGATTACTAAAGAAATGGAGGATGATGTTTTCAGACATATATGTGGTAATGCACCTTAGTATATTTTATATGAACAATACTCTGAACCTGAAAGGACTAGAGTATACACTGATGGCTCTAAAATACAAGACAACACTGGGGTTGATGTGTACAGTAAACTTTTTTCCAATGTATTCCTATGGGACACTTCATGTCAAATTTTGATGCAGAGATCTTTGCAATCTCGCTGGCTCTGATACATGATTCACTTAAAAAGCATATTTTTGGGAAGTTAATGGATGCTCTTAAATCTGACCAGGTAGCAAAATCAGCATGCAAATCCTGGGATAACATTCAAGACACATGGAAAAAGTTTTGTCAAAAACCCTGTACAGAGGCTTTGGCAAACAGGTCACGATTGCATGGCACATCATCTTATTAAAATCGACATCTTTCCATCTAGTATATGCCAACATTGCAATTCGGACATCATGAATGCAGAGCATCTCCGTATATGCCCAGAATTCAATAGAGTCTCAGAAATGTGGTGAAATAAGTATATTGGAATTACAAAGCGTTCATGAACTCCTTGTAAAGACTACATATCTCTTATGTTCCTTTCCTTGTTGTTTAAATTTTTAACTTTTTACTTTTGTTCACATGTTCATTTGTTCTGATTCTTATTTTATAAATTAGTGTTCTTTTTTTATTATTTATCATTGCTCTTGTGTGATATTTGAGCTGTTTTATATGTTTGGATTGATCTTTCCTATAAAGCCATATGTAACAACATTACTTCCCTTAACATTTTCTTTTTTATTTAAAGCATTAAGTTCTCTCTATGGCAGTGATTCTCAACCAGTGGTACACAAGCACAAAAATTAAATATCCCAACATCCTGTTTATGTTTTATTATTGCAAGAGTAACAAGAGTGTTCTTAATTAGATCTTTGCAAAAACTGCAGCTATGCATCAAATAAGGAATAAAATAATTATCGTTCTATTTCTTGAAAATCTGTTGAGTTTTGGGTGTACCTTTATAAAAAATGATTTTCCTCTGGAAAAAATTGTGCATTATTTGAACTTTAAAAAAAAAAAATATGTGGTGTAAATATACATTTTAAGCTAAGCTTTGACTTTTTTATTATTTTAGAGTTATGATAGTTATTTTTCTATTTAATTAATTTTTTCTATGTTCATATGAGTATCAGAGTTTATAAGTACTCTTGTCTTATTAATGTATTGTGTGAAAATATGGTCATAATAGGAAAAAAAAAAGCCTGCCTGAATTATGCTGCTTAAATTTTTTGAACTTGCATAGTTATGTTAATGCATAGATAGGTTTGTTCAATATTAAATAATGAGAGAAGAATCACATATACATTATTATGATTTACTTAAAAACAAGTGGAAAGTGAAAATCTTGAGTCTGTTTATTATTCATCTGAGACTTTCTAATCTGGTATTATATTTTTGAAAAATGTTAATGCTTTTAAATGATATTTAATTTTTAATTATAATGTGTAAAATGTAAAAAGGAGTTTCACTATTAAAAGTCTTTGACTGATTACTAACTTTTTCAGTTAGAAGATTGTGACAAATTAAAGACTGAAAACAAAACCTTGAAAGATCACGTTGAAAATTTGAATTCAGTTCAGTTTCAGTTAGAAGACTGTAACAGATTACAGGCAGAAAACAAAAGGCTGAAAGATGATGTTAAGAAGATGAATTCAATTCAGTTTCAGTTAGAAGATTACAATAAAATAAAGGATGAACATAAAAACCTGAAGAATGAAATTGAAAAGATGAAGCCTCAAAATTCCTCAGTGCATGTTTGTATGCCTTTATATTTCATATTATGAATATTATGGTATTTAAATTATTTGTGCATTCCTAGGCAAACTTTGTGTAGTTTTATATAATAATCACTTTCATAACATCCACAGTTTTACTATACAATCTGTAAATAGTATTTCTTGCTTTTTGGGAATACTGTAGTGGTAAAATAAGAATGTAATGATAATTCATGTTGATAGATATTAAAAAATCATCTCTCTGCCATAATGGTACTGAATAAATTTTATAAAATAGTAGTTCTCAAACTGTTATAAGGTACAAAGTCCGTAATCCGGACATCCATTATCCGGAATGATCTATAATCCAGACCTCAAAGCCACAAAAAAAATTTTTTGTATGCTTTACGCATGTGCATGAACATTGGTAGGATGTGTCTCCAGATACATTAAAAAATGCTTGGCATAATTTGTGGCCAGCTACCATATTTCATGGTGAGGACGATGAAGATGATAGCTGCGAATTTGAAGGTTTTTGGACATCACAAACTAAAGGTGAAATTTTCCATTTATTGGATTTTGTAAAGAAATGTGGAGAAGCGATAATAAATGGAGATGATATAACAGAAATTTTTCATTGTGATGACAATGCCCCAATCATCAATCAATTAATGGGCAGCAAAATCTGTAGTATGGTTCTAGATCCAAAAAATACCGCTTCCAATAGTGAAGAAAGTGACAGAGAGGTTATTGAAAATGAAAAAATTTGATTGACAAGTTAATCGGTATTCTCGACACAACAATTACAGGACTTGAACAGTGGAACTTTGTAACTGAAACGAAATTATGTCTGTTTATAGAATTAAAGAGAAAGTATTAGCACAAGAAACGAAACAACTTACATTGAAAGACATGTTTAATGAAGTAAACAAATATTAAGCTTTTTTTGTAAATTTGGATACCCTTTAGATCATAACTGCTATTTATTTCATAAATTACAGTTTCATATTTTTAATTGTATAATTTCTGCATGCCATCTTACCAGATTTAAATTGATGATCTACAATCTGGAAAATACCCTAATCCAGAATTGGCGAAGTCCCACCGAGTCCGGAGTTACGGACTTTGTACTGTATATTCTTCTGTGGATGCACAAGTGAGTTTGAGTGATACATGAGTAGCTTCAAATTTTAAGAAATCTATAGATGGTAAAAAATTTTTAAAAAGACTAAAAAATAACTTTTCTTCTGATTACTTGATGAACTAATTTATCAGTGTTGCAAACTATTGTTTCCCTTTTAACACCTCATAATTTTTTTTTGTTTTCATTTAGCACTAAAATCTTGTCAATTGCAATTAATTAATACATATATATGTATACCAAGTGACAGGAAATCTCGTGACATACTAAAGGCTGTTAGGTCTGATGAACATTGAGAGGGGAAAAAGGGACAGTTCTATGTCTTCCATTTTATGCTGCTGATTGTAGAAATTCAGTTTGAGTTTTTCATGTCTTAAGGTACTATATTAGATTTATATACAGCATTGCTCTAACATACTGTTACTTTTTTTTTTCTTCTGACACCAGATGTTACATTATTTTCTTCCTTCACGTTCTTTCCTTCACACTCTGTGCCTCGCCTAGCGAGGCACAGAGTCGAGAGGGTGAGTAAGAGTGAGTTTCTCATCGAGGACGAGTCAGAGTGCGAGATAGTTAATTTTGAGTTGGTGTCTCGTCTAGCAAGTCAATTCCTGCAGAGTCGATCGAGTTGACAGCCGGCAGCGAGTGCCGAGTGGGTCGTCGAGTGCACCAAAAGAATCTCGTAGTTTATCACGGTTAGTGCATCATCGAGAGAGCGTGTTGAGCTCTGTGAATGACTGAACTGAAGAGTCTGGAGCTGTGCTCTGTGTGTCGTCGAGTGCATCGCGAGTTGTAGCATGGAGAGTCTCGAGAGTATGTGAAGTTCCGAGAATGAACAAACAGAGTCTGGAGCTGTACTCTAGTGCTTTGCCGTGAAGCTGTCTCCACCTGGAGGCTGTGTCGCTGATCGTGTCAGCGTGTTTATAGTAGTTCATCGACAACTGTAAAAACATGTTTTGGAGCTGTCCTGACAATACTGGCCAATAAAGTGTTTTCAATACTTCATCAAGTAGTATTATCATTATTAACTCCAAATCCTCATGAACCACATGCGAGCGATTTTGTAAAATTTGGTGTGAAATTTATGAAATAATTCAAGAATATATTTTGGTGCACCTTTTTCTCTTCCTGCCAGGAATAATGTATTTAGCAAACTTTTCAGATTATAACTTTTCAAATTTCCCTTTCATTCTGCGTATGTGAAAAAAACATCTTGTTAACAAATTATTTAAAAAAATTCTATTTATTCATTCAAACTGTGTACTTTAAACATGTTTATTCATATCAATGTTTTTGTTCCCCCTAATTTAATTTTATTTGAATTGATTTCTTTTGAAAGAATACGTTATGACTCAGTATTCATCATGATGACTTTCAAAACTGCATACTCAATTGAATGAGAAAAATGCTGTAAAGCACAATTAATGCATCTTTCAATGAGCCATTTAGAAAAGATACATAGATGAGAAAGATGTACAGTCAACATTTTACTTTATAATAAAAAGCATACCCACAATTTTCCAAACGTTTTCTCAGTTTAAACACTATGCCATTGCTTTACATTGTTTTATCATCATACTTTAAGTTTGTTCAATTAAAATTAAATCTGAATAAGTTAATTTTTAAAATCATAAGAACTAATAGCATAACATAAAAGTAAAATTTTTGCAAAAAAAAAAAAAAAAAAAAAAAAAAAAAAAAGTTCTTTTTTCTTTCTTAATGCCTTAGTCCTTCAAGGAAACCTCAATTCCTTAATTAATTTTTTTTGAGAGATTCTGCAAATATAACTAGAATAATCCATCATTTTTTATTTGCTAGATACCATAAGCACTTTTGAAATAGGTTAGTTTTCATGACATTCTTATGATTAGAAGGTATTGCCTTCCATTTCATCAGCATTTGCTCAGAGTAAAATAATGAAGAAAATCTTTATCTGATATCTATATAATTCTTATGATATGACTATCTGTGATATAATTTAAATTTATTCAACCAATAAGTTGGAAAACAGTCATTGTTCTTATCACCTGTGATGTTATTCCTTGTATCTTATATAAGCCAATTTGTTGGGATATTTAATGCACTTCACTGAGTGAAAAACTTTAGCAAATATGATATGAATATCCAAATATTTTCTCCTTAAACATGCAATTTCTTTGAAGTAAATTACACAAAGGCTGTTGTTCTTCCTTTCATTTTTCTTATTTTGGAATTTTTTTTTTTTTTTTTTTTAATGTTGACACTAGAATAGTCATTTTTTTCAACAGTTATATTTCCATTAATTTTGTATTCTTATCAAATTCCATTGAAACTTTAGTTGTATCTTTCAGGGAAACCACTTTTCATTTTCTAGACGTTGTAGTTGCAAATTAAACTCAAAGTAAAAACCCACAGGTCAAATAGTTAAGCATGTTTACCAAATAACAGAAGAATGAAGTATCTCCTAAACCTGTATTGTCTTTAGAAGCCAGTATTTATTCTATCCTACTTAGTGATCCAGTCTTAAAGCTAGGTGCAAATATTCTAAATCATATAATTTTTTCAATCTTTCAGACCAATAATTGACTCATTAAAGAATATATTTTTTAAATCGTCTGTAACAGTTTCAAGAAAAATTAACTAAGTAGAAATATTCTTTGCAAAAGGATTAATTTAAAAATTTATATTTTATATATTTTTACTGAAAGATGGGACATGATCAAAACTGTCAAAGCTTTGTTTCTTTTGTTAAATATTTAATTCAAAACTATTAGATATATAGATATTGTTCATAGGATTTCCTCTTTTGTTGAAAAAAAGCAAAGAATCAATCCAGATATAACCAAGTTTCAATTAAGCCAAAAGGAATACTCTCCTCATAAACAAATATTAACTTTGTTCGACTTTGAATTAATATTAATTTTGTATACTGTGTTTTTATATTCACTTTGACTTGTTTTCAAATTCCTAATTCTGACCTTCTTTTCATCAAAAACTTTGTCTTAATGAAGTTCAGTTAATTAAAGTTTTAGTTGTAGTGTTAGAATATAGCAATTAAATTATCAGACTGTACGGGAAAAAAAAATGTTACAGAGTTAGACTGATGCAACTTTATGTCTTCTTACATCTTATTTAACATTTTGTGTTTAAATAAGATGTAATTAAAGAGAAGGCTTGCATAGGTATGTTTTTGGCATAGCTGTAAGAGTAGAATGTCACATTCCTTTTATCTCTCCTGTTAGAAAACCTTTCGTTTCCTAAAAGATGCTTTAGTCTTCAAGAAGTGAAAATAATCACTGAGGAAACAAATCTGGAAAACATTTGGACTAATTGAGTACACATAATTGGGACTGAGAAGCTTTGTAATGTGGTTATTGACCAATGAAAAGATGCATTACTGCTCAATACAATGCTTTTAAAATAACATTTTCCAACTAAATATCATCAGATTAAAAATCATATGCTTATTTCTTAACCATTTAAAAGTCCACTACTCAGCCAATCTTTTAAAACTGCAGAATTATTTTGACACCTCAGTTTTTAGAGACATTAAGTTAATTGGAAAAGCCGGAGAGAGGAAAAATGAGCAATCGCCTTTGCCAGGAATCGAACGACTGACCTCTGGAATGCCGGCCAAGCGTGCAGAACCACTATACCACGAAAGCATGCTAGGAAGGTGAGAGAAATACCTTCTGAGCTTGAAGGTGAACTATTTGTCACGTAAACTAAACACCTGTTTAATTTTGCCAGAGTTAGTATTTGTCCCATCTTTAGCTTAGATTCCAAGAGTTCTAAATGTGTGCAATAATTGCAAATGTAACTGAATATTCATTTGCACTATTTGGAGTTTAAAAGCTAATGCACTAACACAACTTATATTCTGCTTTTTGTGGAGAGTATAGTGATATTTTAAATATTT